CCAGGTCCCCCTGGACCACCGGGTCCCCCTGGCCCACCTGGTCCTCCTGGACCACCTGGTCCACCAGGTCCAAGTGGCTGTCCAGGTCCACCAACATCATTTGGTGAAAGTGTAGGTCCACCAGGTCCCCCTGGTCCATTGGGTCCTCCAGGTCCGCCTTAAATTAGGAAAACATACAAAAGTACTAATTTAAAGTGAACATTGATAATACAACTTCTATATTATTGTTCTGATTAGAGTATTAACATAACAACTATTGTATTTTTTAGACATTGAATAATTCAACTTAATCAAGATACATTATTGCTATAATTAGAATTTACCATTTTACCAAATTAATTAAATTGTAACCAAATATATTTGCTTTACATACATTATGTAGGTTCATACTATTTATTTTTTCTTGTATCTTACCTGGACCACCAGGCCCATATGGCCCTCCTGGTCCACCTGGACCTTGTGGACCTCCTGGTCCACCTGGTTCTCCTGGTCCGGGTGCAGATGGTGTTGGCGCAGGAGACACAACTGCAATAATGTTAATCAATACAATGTTACAATTCACATAAATTATGAATGTTATTTTCATCAAGCGTGTTAGCTGTTACACTAAAATTTAAAAAAAACACATAAATATACAATGTATACTGCCAAAATACAGTACTTAAAATTGCTGCGTTATATAGCTAAGATTGACTCACCTGTTGTTTCAACTAATCTTTCAAATACAATAGTTACTCCTTCAAATGCACTCATATCGAAAGGGCATTTACAATCAGTCCTATCAACACATTCCCCATCTTGCTCAAAGGTATCTAAAGGACAATGACAACCTGGAACACAGACATCTGGGTTCACGCACGTTGTTACTTTGGAAATGTCGTCACAGGTTGCAGGACATGCTGGAATGTCTTCGCAATTGTCTACGTATACTTTATCATCAGGGCAGGTTTCTGTAATAGGGAAAAAACATTAAAAATCACATAACTTGGCAGAAGAAGAGAGAGTTTTAATTATGTATAATTGATAGCAAACTAATACAGCAGATGAAACCAGCTTGTCTGAAATATATAATACTCATATAAATATTGTGTATCAAATTAACAACACTAAAGACTATAACTAAAAGTAGATTACATATTATAGCATTTAAAAAAAAAATAATAATAATAATAATAAAAATGTGTAGTTTCTTGTACCTGCACATGGTTCAGTATTACATTGTCTATTTTCGACATCAGGACCTTCACATTCAACGCTGATCTCTCCAGTCAATGGGTTTTCACAATTTCTACTTCGTTGTTGAATACCACCATCACATGTTACAGAACATGCTGACCACGGAGACCATTCACCTGTGTATTAAAATACAGTGATATTGAAAACACTACTTTGAGCAAATACAATGAAATACATTTCCTTGGCATCGCAGTAGTCTAGGAAACGTTTTTAAGAATCAAATTGCCAGCCCACTCCACACCTTCCTGAGCACACGATTTTTAGTAATTAATTAATTAAGTCATTAATTGCAAACAAAGATTTCTGAATCAATAACCTTTATTGAGGTTCTTTTTTCAATACTAGCTCAATTGATTGAACTAAAAATTTCATGAAGATTAATTTTGCAGGTAAGGTTTTACAGAACAATACATGTT